ATGTGGCTAAAACGTAATTATACTTCATAAAACAGACATATAAATTAAAACTATAAAAGTTAATGGACCAGATAATAAATATGACGTGTGTATCGAACATCGAGGTGATGTGTTCCATGGCGCGGCTGTGTGTCTTTAGTGTTGGTACATGATGGTGTGGTCAGGACTGACGAGGCTCGGGTTACACCGTGCTCGGACGTATGGGATGCGTTGTGGTTGATACTTTAAACTATATCATAATAGAACCATATACTGAATAGATATACGCCAATAAGGACTTAATGTGCTATGAAAGTAAATATTGCTTTATAATATTATATCATTATATGTAGATGTTGTTGAAGCTGACTGTTACTATAGACTTTGACGAACCTTGTCACACGTATGATTTATATGTCAAAATTATTGTAATATATTTAAGGATTATGTTTTGCAAATTTCGAATGTCCCTTGTAAAGTAATATCTTTTAGCAGTTTTCCTTCACATAAATCTTTTTCTGTGAATTCGATGTCCATCCTTCCATTTACGTTTAGTGAAATAACTCAAAGCATATTATATATTTGCTTCAGTATAAAATGTACATGTATAATTTTTATAAAAACTTAGTTCATACCAGTTTATTATGAATATAGTTGGTTAAATGAAGGTATGGAATGAGTGAAGAATAAGTTTGTTTAAAATCGTTAACTCGTTCAAAAGGCGCAGCCATTTCCAGTGTCAAGTCACACACAAAGCATTATGTAATGGAACGCTCAGTGTTTTCTGTGTTGCGGTCGTCGGAGGAAGTTCCACGTACGAGGTATTGAAGGATCTGCGGTTTTCACGTGGATTACTGTTCCCATGTCCGACGTCGTTAAGTCTCGGTCCTTTTGTTTATCGTACATTGACATATGAGGTAATGATCCTCGCGAACAAAACATAAAACATTTCAGGTGACGTGTGGAAGTTCTTTGTAAAACGTGACACGGTCCATGTTTTTGGTAAATATCTCTTAGTGACTGAGTACAGATTGACGATAGAATTTTCAATAAATACGACGTCCTTATTGACCGTGTTTCGAGTTACGCACGAACTGGGTTTCAATTAAAAGTGATTGGCTGAGTGGTTTGTAAAGCAATTTGTCAGTTAGTTCAGCTGCAGGATTGTATCTTTTCACCATTAAGATCGGGAGCGCGACGTGACGCGTGCGCACGCGACTCACGCACGAACAATCCTTGCACTATGAACCTGATAATTATCTTACAATCGTCTAAATCAATCATACACATGAAAGGTAATATGTCCGCGCATTCGTTGACTTAGTTTTTTATTGTGTAACCTATGTACCAGTGACGGTTTTTATCTTAACCAATGTTTAAAATCATTATTATTCCTCTCTTAACTCCGGACAAATGAATTTCTTTATGGCCTTTAACCTTAACGACATCAACGCTGGTTTTATCTTATTTTTTCTATTACGTCTGGTGTCCATTAGCTTTGTATTTTAACTCAACTTCGACGTAGATATTATCAAAAATTCCTAAACACAAAAGTATGGTTAAAAATTGTTTGAGAATGTCTGACAAGTACAGAATTTTACTCTTCTAAACATTTACATGTTTTTAAGTTCATATAGATTGTATTGAAACTTTCACAAAACCTGGTAAATAATATTTTTCGGTTATTTAACCGTACTTTGTATAATAAAATTCTGTTATGAGCTGTTTTAATGAAATAAATTAATATTAGTATTCGTTTAAATAGATTTAAATAAAGGCATGTACTGCCGCGTTGAATCTGATCCCATTCAAAACACAAACAAAAAACTAAATAAAAGTCCAAGTCGAAATATAACTGGTCCTCCTTTTTGTGATGTCTCGTTTATATCCGTATCTTCCGCTTGATTGATGACCTGTGCTTTGTGAGGGCCCATTTTTAATGGACTCCTAAAGTTGATTTAATAAAAACCCTTCATTACGCCATCCAAAGATCGCAGGGTCAAGTCCACAATCTCGGAGCAGACACAAGATACGTAATTATACGACCGTAGACGATTCGTATAATATAACTCAGTAGAAGTTACTCAATCAAAATGAAAGTCCATTGTAATGCTTAAAATGTGAATGAAAGAGATTCCGGCACGTCCCGATAACAGCTGACAAGTAACTTGGATCATTTACCGAGACCACCTCGACATGGAACGTTCAAGGTAAAAACAACGGTACGAGATCAATGGACATCGCAATTAGAAAATGTTAAATTGGCAGCAATCATTCACGGATATGCCCGTCGGGGTATATGTTGGCAATGAGACCGAGGCTCTCGGGGAATGTAAGTAATCGATTCCACTCTTCATTCGTACAACCAAAAAATCACTTGGTCCCTAATAAAGATTTTTTGCTCTCTTTGGGATACTGAAATGATGGGTCTCGCACTTCGCACAGTCTGCGCGGGCAATTTAAATATGTATTTTTTACGTGACACGCGTTTGTTAACGCTACAGAGCTGGTACTCCGTGCAATCAAAAGTTTAATTAGATAGCCTTTTTTATGAAACGTTTTGAAGTACTCTCAACGAAATATGTCGTACGCAAATATACTTTAGCAGACACACTATTTATTTAAGCGCTAACTCACGAACATTTTTTAATGCTATTAGCATAACATTTTTAAATACGAGTAAATTTTTCCAAATATTTATTATACTTAGTAAATAGAATCGTTTCATGTAGAAACTTTGAGTAATCAATAATTATAGCCTTGTTGAATCAAACAATAGGCTGTGCTTTTTAATCAATCAAGTGTTACAATAACGTTGCCTTTGTAGTTTTTGTGTTGCATTGTCAACTCAATGTAATATTTGTTTATTTAGGTCAACTAATAAATACCAAGTCAGCTGTTTACACAAGTTTTGTAACGATCTTGTATACGTTTCTTATTATTCAATTTAAAATTAAGAAATAAAGAACATTTTTAAATTAATTATAAACTATATATTAGGGAAACTTTCATCCGCCCAGACACCTCCAGTAATTAATACTCACACTGTTTATAAAATATGTGTAAAATAATAAATATTCGAAGTGTTGCTTTGTTCACAGCAGCGTTCTTGTAAGAGGTATAATTAAAAATCGTTCACATACGCGGATAAAAAACAATATGCAATCAATCACTCTCAACACGTGCGTATTTCAAATGTGTATTGCATCAACTGGCCATTGAGATGTTAGTGTAAGGGCCACGGATGACGATTTTGTCTTTCTAAATTACTTTTGAACAATAGTTCGTTTTGTATCTATTTTTTAAAGGCATATTTATGGACATGTATTAGTTATTGCTTGCGACTTCGTTGATTTCAAGGGTTATGTTTAAAATATGTTAAAATAATAGTAAGATTATCTGTAATCTGATTAACGTACCTTTCTATACAGTAAAACTTAAGTCTCAATGCGTAGTAAACTACACAAAATTTCGGTATATATTCTAGATTGTTTTCTTCTCATGTCTAAATTAAATGTTATCAAAATCTGCTAAATAAATTTTGAGTGGAATAGCAAAAAATATCCATACGTCATAGGTAATTTTTTTATAACACCAATGTCATGTACCCATCTTCTATCTGTGATAACTTAATATATTTAGTATCAAAATTGTACGTGTTATTTCAGATTCGGTTTTCATAACGGCATTTGACCAGCTCGATTCAATTTTCATGTTTACTCCTTGCTAAATAAATACTTTAGTCGGATTATTATTTTTATAAACTTAAACTTAAAAACATTGAAATAGTTTTGTAAATATCGAATGTGCTTTGAAAGTTGATATCGATAATTTTAAATTTAATTACCAATAATAGGTACGTTTTATTTTAATTAAATGTTTAACACAACGCTCGCAAGATAAGAGTCAGTATGTGAGATTGATTGATACCAATTTATGTGTCAGATATATGAAATATATATAAATGAAATTATACTAATATTTTGGCATTACTTCGCTTATTTTATTATGTTTAAAAACAACATACTCCCGACGTTTTGATTACTTTGCAACAACCGTGATCACAGGCAGACGAGATGGAAATCTCTCGTATGCAAGTTATGTATGTATGTAGTTTTTAAAAATAATTAAAAACGCGAAGCAATGCCAAAATATTAGTTTCATTTCAATGAATACTCATAATATAGGTACATAAATGAAATGAAGTAAGGAAACCAAATACTAGCTCGTCACTCACAAGCAAGTGATAAATAATCTTCAAATAATATTTACGGCCTTTATATAACTAAATATTGAAACAAAAATAACACAATTATATGTAATGCAATCGACTAACACTTCCTCCATTGTAAAGTAATTGAATTCCAAATTGGCCGCTAATGTATTTTTAATTGGATCGAGTTATTATTATCAAATCCTCATTATTGTATAATATTTCCGCCCCGATTGGTGCGATGTCTTTGTGTTTAAGTTAAAACCTACCGTCGTACAAATGGTTGAAAATTAAGGTACACCCGTCATTCACTATCTAGCAATGATCAAAAAATAAAATATATATTGAAATATAAGTGATATTATGGTAATAAAAACTATGAATTTTATTGTAGTATATATTTTTTGGTTTCTCAAAAATAATAATCACTTCGATCATTAACTGGCACATAAGTAAAAAATCAACAAATTTCACTAATACATTATATAATATAAAAAACAAATAGCCAAAAACTATTCACAACATGTAAGGCAGACCCTGGCTATAGCTGGGAAATTGCTAGGTAGAAGAAGAAGAAGACATTATATAATATATACATGTCATATATAATTGTCGTTTGGGAGTATTAAATAGTCTGTTTAGTATTAATTAAATATATAAGTAGATTTATTTTGGCAGTATCCTTATTAAAAATAATATGAGAATTAATTTTCGCTTGTGGTTAAAATTTTATTTCGAGCAAAAAGATTTGACGTCTGACACGGTTGTACCGCGCTTCAAATATTAACACAGGTGCTAATTATTTCTGATGGCTGAACAGGTGAATGATGATGATCAGTTAACTGTAAATCATCAGTCACCTGATACACTCACTCATTTATTTTGGCTGAAAACATTGTACATAATGTATTCACGCATCACTTACGAGATACAGGCCGGTGTCGAGAAATGTTCAATTAACTTGTTTCAATATTGTTCTTACATGTATGTAATATAGGTTTATATGAGGTACATGTAATTAAGAGGTTATTTATTTTATAATAAGGCTTTTATAACAAGGACTTTTATAATAATTAATAAGGCTTCATAATATAAATCAACAATAATCTAAGTAAACTATACGAAAACGCTATAAACGAAAGCAAATGCTTTATTGAAGTAAAAATTATATAACTGTTAACAACACAGCTTTGTAAAAAATAGATTCAAAATACGTAAAAAAGATATTTTTATTATTAATTGTTATCTCTCGTTCCCTCATATTTATATTTCAACAAATTAAAATTATGGTAATCATAATAATCTGTGAATAAATAATTCGAAGTTTAATAGTGTAATAATTATGTATGTTATTGAGGTAACATATTGATTTTAAATTGAATCAAATCAAACTGGCGTATGAGAATTCCCTTGTGTGTCAGGGCGGCTTCATCCTAAAGAAATTGGATACTTTAATATGACGACGCTTGTATTGTGTTAATAATGTTTAATTGTGGAGCATAAACCAACCATAAATATATACGAGAAAAAGAAAAGAAACGAAAATAAGCTTACATCTATGTAATTAACAATTAATGGTTTTTTGTTCAAATAATAATAATAACATTAAAATATGTCAGAGTTTATCGTACCATAAGAACAAAATTATTCTAATAAGTACAACTTCACTATTTTCCCTACTGTTTCCATTATGTACTATCTTGTGTCTAACGTCGAGACAATAGTATTTATGGACATCAATTAATTCTCAAAGGCAACACCCACGCCACGTCAAAGGTCCAATTTCATTCATTCTGTTCAAATTTACAACGACCGAACCCAGCTATGTTAACCTTCATTCTGACATACAAACAAAATATAATTATAAACTAATTATGGTATATTATAATCTAAAATACATTGTATCATGCTAACTAATTGACAATATATAAAAGACACCGGCGGATGTATCTGAATAACGATTCATCGCGTCATTAGGGTGAATTCGATCGAGTAATCACGCCGTCTGATCTTGTACGGGATGGCGCGAAACGATCTGTTTGGACGGTGGCACGTGCGTTCAGCAAAGTTAACTTGTTATAAATAAGTATGAAACTTAACATATATTATGAATATTTTGTAAAATATATTACGTTTATTTTGGTTATAAAATGATTAGCTTCCAGTCTTACTTAAACTAAAAATAAATCCTTCATAAAAGTTACACCGTCTCGCTTTCTATGTAATTGTAAATAATAATTGTAAAACATTTGATTAGTCATAAGGTTTATCTGTTGCAACACTAAATCTGTATTCTATATTCCATTTATATAGCGGCCGGTGGGCAAGGAGGCGATAGAGTCAATCTTATCAGCCGTATCAAGTCCTATTACAGCGACCGACTTTCCCCCGGGCTGAATTCCTTGATGATTGTCCCCCCTGATACAAACGGGTCAGCTGCAAATTTTATTCAATTTAAATTGTCGGCTCATTTGAATAATGCTTTTTTTTGTGTAGTAAAACCACGGTAATCAAGTAAATAAAATAAATGTGAAGTGTTGATTATATAAGAAATACAATTGTGAGTTGTATTCTTTTGCGAAATTAACATAACTAAATATGAGATTTTATATATATATTTTCAGAAACATATTACTATATGTAAATATACATACTCGTATATTGTTTCTAACATAGTAGTACATTCCAGAACAAACTAAATCTAGATACGGTCTGAAACAATTAGCTAAATTAATTCAGTGTGTGGAGCGTACGGTGTTGTTAAGACCTGGCCACAGACCGACACTCGGACACTGTTACTGTGACGATAACAACACAACGGGACACTGAACCACCCTGTATAACAGGACATCGACCTTGATAAAAAACGAACACATAAAATACTAATCAATAAATAATCAACTGCTTTTATAAAGAGACCAATTTTTTTTTTTTTTTTTTATGTTATAGGTGGCAAACGAACAGACGGCCCACTTGATGGAAGGTGGTTACCGTCGCCCATGGACATCCGCAACATATTTGTTGCGGATGCGTTGCCAACCTTTTCTTTTTAAGGATAGGGAAGGGTGGGAATAAGGAAATACAAGGAAAGGCTGGGAAAAGGGAAAGGGCAACCGGCTCTCTCACTCATCGGACGAAACGCAATCATTACTGACTACTTCACGCCGATCTTCTGTGAGAGGGTGGTACTTCCCCGGTCGAGCCAGCCCATGTTCGAGCTGTAGTAACTTAACTACAGCTAGGCTCTACCACCTAAATATTGAGAGGAAGACTAAAATTAAAATATTTTAAGATCTAAGACTTTCACGAGTATTCATTGAATTGAAACTAATATTATTCGGATTACTAAGTTTATTAAAAAAAAAAACTACATATGTACTCCCGATTTTTCGGTTACATTTCCTAAACCGTGATCACGGACAGACGAGGTATGAATGTCTAATACTTTAATAATCCTTGGAACATACATTTATAATCTTTAAGACAAATTACATCCCATTAAATATCCAACATAATTAAAGAAATCTTTACATTAAAAATACTCACACGGAGACCAAGTATCAAGTCAAATATAGCATTAATTTATAACAACATAATGTTCAGCTTTCATTCCAGATAGCTACACGACAGCGATGTCTATCTAACACAACATTAATGCCACTCCAATTAACCTATTAGTATTATGTTTACTGAATACGATCTATTATATGCTTTTGTAATTATTAATTTATTGTTAAATTACTACCGAATAGCAATTGTATAGGAATTCAGTTGCGTTAACCATTAACGCAACATGTTATATAATAATCAACAGATGTTTTTTGATTCAGAATATTCTTAAACTTTAGTTAATATTACTTTAATCCAGGTTCCAATCAAATGTTAATTATCAATAAGCGGGACGTGATTCATAATTGCTTCTTTAGAGTTTAAAATATCATAAAATAAATCTTTTCCAATCCTTATTATAATGGCGTTCTTTATAATAAAAAATGAAACGTGGCGTGAACACCTAATTGGATCTTTTAGTGCTATTTATAGACGTCCTTTGAATTATTTTAACGAGCCTACCACAGTATGTTGGAGGTAATTTCACGGCATTCCTAAATGTTGAAACAAATAATAAGTAATGTTAACTATAGCTCTGTTAAATACGTCACAGTGCGGAATATTTAAAAATAAATGTGCCTCTTATACATTATTATTTTTCATTAAATTTTAATAAGACTGTTAATATGTTACTACTATAATAATAGTTAGAGAAAACTTAATAAACTTTCGTCTTTGTTGTAGAAAAGAATTTTTTTATATCAAGTTTTCATTTCAATAATATAGTTGTGTAGTCATTAATTATTATAAGACTTACTTCGTACTCTCTTATAAACTTTTAACTAAATATTTATATTTGTATTGATTTAATTTATACTAAATTATAATGTATCGGCTGTCGAGGATACTGAAATAACTTTAATTTTTAATGACTGCATTAGTAAATATTATAATATAAAAATGTTTAAATAAGCAAGGTACCTAACATATTTTTTTTCTGTGAGTGTAAGGTTAAATTATTCAATATATATGTATATGTCTAGTAAATGAGCCATCATGAATCATGATATGAAGGTGTCAAGTTAAAACCTATCAGGGATTAACAACTAATATATATTCCATTCAGAGCGGTAGCCTATTTGTATTAGTATGACAGAGATGTGGCTCATTCACACTTGCATAAGCATCGCATCTCATCCGCTTGCTAAGTCGCTAACGGCTACCTGTGAATCAAATAATTATAGCCTGCTCGGCTTAGCCTTAGCCGGGTTAGCCGGCTTCACTAAACTGCATTAGGAACACGGCTAATTGACTGTATTGTTGCCTTTTACTTGGACACGTCATATTATAATTGTTTTCAATAGAAATAAAGCTTAAATATTATGACAGCTTTATAACATGTTTATTGGGCAACATCAGAGTTTTTTAACCTTTCACGCACGCTGAAGGTTTTGTTAATAATAAAATCAACAAATTCAACATGTTCGCACGATGATTTCTTAATACGTGGATAGCCATCGACACCGGACATTTGTTTGGCTATCAATTAAATAAAAATGTTTGTTGTTCTCACGAGATGAAGGACGTTTGTTTAAAGGATGCTGGATGTATTAATATTGATTTTATGTTCGATACTTTTGTTTTATTATGAAAAAACATCGACTGAGTGTCCTCAGGACCAACAGCTTGGAACAATGTTGTGTCGTGATCTCTGTCATGAGCGCGTCGAACGAATTATGTCACTGTATTGTACTATAATGCGCTAAAATTAAAATATATCCTTGTACGACTGTTATTTGCATATAAATAAACAAATACTGTATTTTAATTTATACTTTATTATTATTGGAATTGTGTTTGTGGGATTAATGTGTTTATAATTGTTTCAGAGATGGCAGCGGAGATGGTTCGTCCTATATGACGATGGGGAGCTGACGTACTCTCTAGACGAACATGTGAGTAACGTACATATTATTATATACGCATTAAAGTATCAAAGATAATAACATATTTACATATATGATAATGTCGCTATAACTCGGACTGAATAATCGCGTCCACTGATAGCGGCGACTTCGATTTAACTGCTTTCCTAAGCTAAGTTAAAAATAGTGATAGCACATCCTCGTAAAGTACCTTCTAGCCTCTTACATCTCGCTCGCGATCGATCTCATCTCCTACCTGCTAGGGTTGATGCGTTTCCTTATATAGAATAATATTTTTTTACATAAATATCGCTAAAGCATATATATTTTTTATGAAGAAGTAAAAGTTTAATTTGATTTTTTGGTATATATGAAAATTTGTTCATACCAATCAAAGTAATGGGCCATGTTATTAGATTTTCTATGGTCATATCAGCCCTATGAGTGGGGTATAACAAATTCAAACCAGTCGGCCGCTCGGAGCGGACCGTGGCGCGTAATTGACTTGTTAGTTGAAATGTATCGTTCAGACATTTACCCCCTGATTAGTTGTTACCTTATTAATAAACACACATTATAACATGCCTCATTTATTCAGCAATCTAGATCTTATTTTAATTTAAATGCCATTCTAGTTTATATATTTTTTTTATAATTCCGCTGAATATTTTCATGAACTTAACTCTTTCGTATGCATCATTTCCTTGTTTTTAAACAAAAAACTACCGCGTCCAAACATGAGCATGATGGTAGACAATACTTTATCTGAATCATAATCTTGATCGTTTTTCTCAACATATATTTAATTACACGCGATGTGCGTTAATGAATTTTAATATACATCTCTGTGAGCCCGTAAAGGACAACTTGCTTTATAGGGCAACTAAACGAAGCCTGCTTCCAGTTAACATCGTGTTTCTTAGATGAAAGTTAGCGGATATATCTAATAAAAAATTATCTTTCCTATTGATCTCATTTATCGCTGTAGAATGTTTTCGAAAAATAATTACATATATAAAATTATCGTATTATTATCTTTTATGGACATGTTCAATCTACGACTTATGTTTTATTTATTATTGATGAAATCACAACAAGTGTATTAAGCCAATTACTGTGAAACAAATTTATGTCAAAATAGACGAACCACTTCAACGTAGGGCGCCACCAAAACTTAATATGGAAAAAAATAATTAGTAACCATTAATACGAAATGAATAAAAATTAATATATAGTGTTATTGGTATTGGCGGAACCTCGTTTAACAATTAAAATGAAACTGGTTTTTAGTTAAAAAGTTAGTATAAAAATGTATGCCAGTGTCGTGCAGATTGCTGTTTTATTGTACATTTAAACAAACTATACTTTATAACCAATAACAATAATCAGACTCGATAAAAACCTACTTCTCCAAATGAACGTATGTGGGTCATTTAAAAGTTATGTTCTTATAACTGAATTATCAATAAAACAACACAATTACAATAACAAGTTATGGGGTAAAAGTGTTTATTAAACCGAGGTGTCACCTACTAACGTTAACTCGCGTCTCTATAGAACATAACAGATTTGATAGCGGAGAAAGGAAGACGGTCTTCAGTGAAGAAATTCCATGAATATATGCAATCAAGATGCAATAAAGCTCGCCTCTTATAGACTAAATGACTGCGGAGAGCTTCTCTAAATATATACTACTGTAATTAAACAAAAACAAGTGCTATCGTCCTACATGTGTTTATGTTCCATACTTTCTAAGACTGATGTGTTTTTAAATGATTATATACATTTTAAATAATTATTTTCCAGTACTATTTTTATTGCAGGAGTATTAAATCTAATTAAATTAAGAACAAGTCCTATTTACATTTTAAATTCTTTCAATAAAATTCAAATTTCAATATTAAACGACCTTCCGTAGGGCGCTACGTGCCCGCAGTCTGCGGAACGGTTTGTGTTGCAAAGCAGCATTTGATGTTAATGAATCATAGGTTTGTGAAGGCAATATTACAAGGACCTGTCTAAACCTGATATATGTCTGAAATAGTTTCGTGTGACGCCTGAGATATAAAATCTTGTGTACGATCTCAACAACGAAGCATCATTTATTATAGAACTGATGATCTACATCTAGTTAATCGAACTGTGAATCGAAAACAGAAATCACTATACAACTTTGTTGCTAAGTTTCAATCCAGATCTTTACATACGAATGAGAATTTTATCTATATATTTTGATAAACAAGACGCATTCTGCTTATTAATATAATAACTATCCCAACGAAATCTATTCCAATGACGTTATGAGTTACATAATGTTCTATATACATATGAAAAACGTCGTACTTTACGTCACCACGTTACATTGTAAGCGGTTCTTGAGTTTTAAAAACGATTGCGTCAAATGAAGCCCCGATATTGATTGGATTAAATGCAAAGACGCCTTACAAGCGAGCGTTGCGGACGCGAGGCTGACCCGGTATCCCACAAGATTATTTTATTCACGTCAACACTGCAATTAGTTCAAACATCGTGAACACATAATTATATTCTATTGCAATACAAAATGTCATGGGCCATCTCAAAATAATAATTGCCAGCCCGCAGCGACAAACGCAATACTTAAACTAATTAACGTGCGATATTTTAAAACTATTTTTCTCTTAATACGATTGTCAAAACTGACATTTATCTACGAATTATGATTGGAACGTTTTAATCTGAATTCTCTAAATTAAATTGACTCAGAAGAAGATTTAAAATATCATAAAGAATGTTTCATAATATTTATTTTCTCGACGTTACCTCCTTGCTTAAAGATAAGTATTAAACAATAAGAGAAAAAATCTGAAATCTGAATCTGAGGAAAAAAAAGGAATCTGACACCAAGAAAATATATAAAAATAAATATTAACATAACCTCAGAATTATACGTATAAAATTTCCATTTACATAATTTTCTTTTATAACATTTGTCGTCTTAGTTTGTATATTTTTAAATTATCAGTTTCTCGTATTAATTGCTCTTAATAATTAAATTGGCATTAATTCCAAATATTCTCTCGTACTTGAGATACTATTCATATTTTACCAATTAATATTGAACCGAAGCCACGTGCGTTAACCGCCTCTGCCTGAGTCGGAATGCGGTCGCCGTATAGTAGTATTGGCTAAGCGATGCTTTGCGCGGGCGCACCCACCGCGATCCACCTGCCCCACGCTTCCGTAATATAGCGTAATGATTTTATTTGATTTATTGTTAATGAAATATTTTATAATCTAAATGTTGCTCACTATTTGTCCAGACATTTATATAATTTTTAATATTAAACATCTATAAATTCACTTTCTCTTCACAAACCAGATATCAAGGCTATGAACCGTGATTGATATCAGTTTTTCCTGTAACATCGCGAAATGCCTGGTGATGAAACGTGTTTCTTGTGTCTTGTTTTTCTCTCCAACAACTTGATAAAGGAAGTTTACAACAGATTCGAGATCTTAACACATTTTTGTGTATTGTTCATCTCAATACGTTTTACTCAATCTATTATTCAATAATACTAATTAAAAAGGCTTAACTGTATGTCAAAATTATAATTAATAATATAAAATAAAGTATATAAATGCTATATTGCTACAGCTAGTAATATGTGTTTCCTTAATTAAACATAATAAAAACCGTGTATTCATCACCGTCATAAGTCCGTGAGATGTTATCGGTACAGGAGGCTGGGATATTATCTACAAGCTGTAGTATTTATAGGACAGCCTGTCTCCACCTCTGTGCAACGAACTTTGTAACAAATCACCCGGCACACACATTATGCATAACGACCGCAGCAATAATAACCTTTTAACTATCATATAAATTAAATTTCTTACGATTCATACCTTCAACGTTGTGCCTCAAACTATTCGAATTCCTCTAGCTCTGTGTACATAATCATATTCTGGCATCCAAGTATATAGAATTATCATCAGAAAGCTCTTCTAACCCAATTTCTCCGGTTTACAAATGTCTATAGTCACGCTAAAGTCGCTCCCGTTACCAAAGGCTTCAATACTTAATAGCACACATTGAATTCTGTTCGCAAACCGGCGGATACATTGTCATAACTGTCCATAAAGCGGGGCGAGCACCACCCACTTAAGCGGTCACTGATGCAGGTGAATTGACGGCCATCCATTTAAAGCATCGCGAAATAACAGGCGGCAATAAATAGTGATTTGTGTCGGAGTGCTCTTGAACGTCCTCTGTTATAGTACGAGACAGACGGACGGGATTTAGATTCAGACTATAGAGACTTACGAATTATTTTATATATAAATATATGTAATATCATATCTTTACCGTTATTTTATACGTTTCGTTTCGAAACCGATTCAATATATATTTTTTGTGAGCCTTCTCAATTCATATCAATAATATTTATCAATGAAATAAATTCAAGCCGTTGACATATTTCTCGCTCGATTATGATATGTTGTTCATGAATAATGGAAGGCATACATAAAATAGGGTAAGGTATCTCGTATTTTGTAACCGAGTACCAACTCCTACGATACTGCGGGAGATCAATCATCTCAGCTCGCGGCATTCTGCGACGTATTTATACCTTGTATACAGCCTGTGTAAATTGTTCCGTCGTTAACGTACAAATGTATATATAGAATTAATTGTTTATGTACCCCGGGGTCTAAGATATAAACTTCAAAGCTTTCCTTTCTCTAACAAAACCCCGAATATTTCAAACTCGTAAGACCACACGTAAGCTGATAAGAGTTATCTTCTATGAGTGCGTCGAAATCAACAAAGCAGTAATGTTTTACTACCGATAACGGTACAATTCGGCGCTTGTGTAGTTTGTGTAGTTATGAATTATATCTAAAATAATCTAGAAACGGACGAGGCTTTACTGTTAACAACTTCAAGGAAATAGAACGTGTTAGAACAACATGTAACTGCATCACTTTGATGATGCTTCAAACTGAACATATATATAAAGTATGACTCATACATAATAATTAAA